AGTTATAGGCATCGACGGGTTGCCCCGGTATGGTATCGACATAGAACAATAGTATCATTATATCAGTAGAATCATTTCAACAAAACAATATATATATATTTTTTTTATTGTAACTCCAAACCAGTATAATATAGCCAAAATTAATTAATTTACATATTATTATTATGTATTATATGATACGGCCAATGGGGGGGCATGGACCCTGTGCCCCCCCCCTGGCTACGCCACTGCAGATAGCTATTATGATGTAGACGTGCGCTAAGAAAGGATTTTTCGAAATTTTGAATTTAGAGGGTTGAAATCGGTAAAAGAAAATTTTTACATGTAATTTGTATAAACATAAGTTTGCTTACAATCACATTATTACAAGTGTTAATAATAATGAGGGTCGAATATACTTTTTAGATGCTCCAGGTGAAACTGGAAAAACTTTCTTAATCAATTTGATTTTAGTGAAAGTTAGAAGTACTCCCGACATTGCCTTAGCTAAAGATGCTACTTCTGGAATCGCAGCTACACTGCTTGAGGGTGGTCGAACGGCCCATGCTATCTTCAAATTACCACTCAATCTAACAACTTCGGTCACTCCCTTTTGTAATATATCAAAATAAAGTAATTTTGCGGAAGTTTTAAAATATACAAAATTAATAGTGTGGGACGAAATTACAATGGTGCATAAGGGTTGTGTTGAGGCTCTAAATAAATGGGACCAGGCTTAAAGTCAAAGCTTTACATCGCAATATAGTAGAAGCCACAATTTTAACAGGATGTGCAAAAGGGGAAACTGTGTTTGTACCACGAATCCCTTTAATTCCGAATGATCATCCGTTCGAATTTAAACGATTAAAATTTCCCCTGAAAGTCTGTTTTGCAATGACTATAAACAAGTCTCAAGGCCAAACTCTTAAATTTGCAGGAATAGATTTGCGAGAAAACTGTTTTTGACATGGGCAGTTCTACGTAGCTTGCTCACGCGTAAGCTCACCCAATAGCTTGGTGATTTTGTCGCCTACTAATAGATCAGTGAAGAACATGTCTACAAAGAAGTTTTGTAGATAACATATTGAAAAACTATTAGTAAAACATTTATTTTGAACCTTTAGTGCTAAAATTTATCGTGAACAAAGCTTCTGCCGCCAAAACCTATAACTTATAGAATAGGTTATGATAATAATCATATGTATAAAATATTATTTCAAAATCTTAATTAATTTAAATTTCAATAGATTTAACAAAATTTAATCTTGGCAGGTTACATTCATTTATATACTTAAACCCGGCAACGACGGGTAATTCAGCTAGTTCCCCATAAGAATATAATTGAAAATATTAAGGTATGTTTTACTAGTTAACTACCTTACTATGTTATTATAAATTGCAATTTGCTAGGCATAGTAAAAATTAATATGCGTTTTAGACTGATTCTATTAACATAAGAAGAAAAAACTAGTCGTGGGAGGATATTACTAATCAGTACAATGGTAATAATTCTGAAACAGGAAATATAACAGTTGTACAATTAAAAAATGTTTATGATATGGCAAAGAGAAGAGCCAAAAAGGAACTGATTTACGATAAAGTAAATTTATATCAGTAGAGTATATATGCCGGTCCTGGCACAGTCCTTAAATCCATCAGTAAAAGATCACAAAGAAAACAATGTGCAAAAACATCAGACAATTGAAATGCAATAATTATTAAAATATTTTTC